GTGTATCTTTGTGGCAGATAATCTAAATCCATGCACATTCTGTCACTAGAAGATATTAGTACTGCGTGTTTATGCTACAGAACACCCAGCAAGATGAGCGCGCAAAAATTTACAGGCTGGATAAGTGAAAGTTTTGTCTCCGCTTCAACGAAGGAAACTAGATTTACATCTCGACATTAGACGTATTACCTGGAGAAAAATAAGGCTTGAGGCCAATACTTCCGTTTATTTGATGTTAGTTGCTCCACTTCTTCCCATGGGACTGTAGTCATCTTTCGAACCGTGAGTCGGTTGGTTTGATGGCTGTGGACAAGATAATAGATCCTGAAGCCTTTTAATGCTTACTTCTTGTAGGCTCATCCCTAGGTTTCCAGGCTGTTCTCATTTTCCTCTTCACCTTTCCCAGTTCAGCCCAGTCACCACAAGTGCAAAGTGGCTTGTAAAGCTCTTCATTCGCTACGAGCTACCCAAAGTATTTTTGGCCCCATTCTACGGAAGGCTATGGATGTCTGTCTCAGAATGGTTGTCAAATATTAAGTTTCCGAAGGCCAGCGCAGTCTATCTTCTTCTTGGGCGCTGATGTGACTTCATCTGTCTCTGCCGGCTGGCCATAGCAGTTTACGGTACGTGATTTTTTTGGGGGGGGGATTTGGCTGCAGTGGAGAGCTTTTGATTGGATAGCAGATGCATGTAGCTCCTCTTCGCCCCGAAGATGTAATATCATCAATGTGCGCTTGCATTGCAACGGCAGTTCGTCCATTGTCGACAGATTTTGCAGGTAAAAGTAGTGTCAGTAAATGATGATGCCTTTCTGCTAATACCGTAGTAGTCCGTGGCTTCATCGTTGCCAAGACTTAAGTAACTTGCTTTCAGTACATTGGTGTCGGTCGTTGTGCATGTACTTGGTCGTTGAACGTGTCTACCTCCTCACTTTTCAGTGCGATGAATGCAGACGTGAGGCCACCTTTCCGCCCACATTAGTTTCCAGTGGCTGGCATAAAAGTGGTGTGGTAATCATGAAAACCCAGTGTTTTGATACCTGACTCCTCAAAACACACTAGGCTGTGACTGATTCCTGACCACCTCAAAGAGGTGTGGCTAGGTGGCAAATACGAGTGAAATAGCCTGAGGAGAGAACGGGAAAAATGTAAGTGACAAACAGTCCGAGCCACCTGCAGTAGGGTTCTTCGCACTTGATCAAAGACGTTAGTGAGAAGATTTAAGCGCATACGCAGAAGAAACCAGCTACATTTCTTAGTGAGCGATTCCCGCAGAGAAATAACAACTATTGCAACTATTTAGTTCAGATGACCACAGTCTGCCAGCAAGTGGCACACTGGATTTATGAAGGAGGTTTTTGGTCGGAAAGAGATGAAAATTTCCGCTCCGTCTTGTCTAAACGTTCCATGTTCGCAACCTCAACAGGGTTAACAGCCATCCTTATATAAATTAGAATGCTTAATCGGCATAAGTTCTGGCCACCTTTGATGCATATTGGTGTTTAAGAGGTGCTCCTGAGAATAAGAACTTTACTGTGGATATTTTTCAGATGTCAAAGAGGTCTGGCAAACCAACTCTCCCAATGCTCCTGGCAAAATACCCCGCCAGTTTCAGGGATATCAAAAATTCTTGAGTCCATCAACGATCCTGTAGATGCCATTGCAGATTGAGATTCTAGATTTTTGAGATCTTTGTCACCAGTTTTTGGAACAGTCAGTGAGTTGTTGCCGATGGATTCAAGCAAGGACTATTGCACCTAGCATGCCTCCATGAAAAACACTGAAAGCAGCTGCTAACCTACTAAGGTCTATTTATTCGCATAATTGGAGTATTTGTCCGGTGCGGCAGCCATGGGAATCCTGGATGCAGGTGTTAGCTCAAAACACAAATCATCGTGGCATACATCCTTGGGTTGATTCCAAGCCCTATTCTACGAGACGGCTTTACGACTTAATCATGCCAAAATTCACTGCAGTATTTCATGAGAATTAAGTGGGGGAGACGAAAAAGCCGACGAAACGTTGGGGATGGTGTACTTTTATATACTTCGTACTCTATTCTAGCCATCTGATCGAACAATTTAAATGAATATCCCTTGCGTAATGCTCAGAAGCATCAAGGTATTTTTGGTAAGAGATTCCCAAAGAGAACATAAAACCTGGGCAGTACGGCAGCAGGGAAAACCAAAAGTTGGCAAAAGGAAGTTGCTTAGAGTTGCGAAGGCGACCAATGCATTGGCAATGAAACATTTTGCGTTCCCGTGGCCATATATTCAAAGTAATAGGGAGCTGCTTTGGTTAACAAGGCTGTGGAGCTGGAACTGAGGCTGAACTTTTGTGAAATAAACCCGTTTATAAGAGGCTTCACACAAAACACTGTACGGTGATCGATTAACTGCACTGTGGGAGTCTTTGAGGCCTGTTGCTGGTCAAGAATACGTCTGTTTGCCAGTAACTTTAGGGAAGCGTCCATGGGTCACGATGACTAGGCTTGACTAAAACCCGCCTACACACACTGCCGCTTGATTCGGGCAAGTAGAAAATCGCTTTGGTGTATTAAGTCTGTCAAAGTGTTTTTCGGATGACAGTCACTAGCTTTCCTTGACTATCGGTCGGGAATAGCTGTGAGCTGGAAACTTTTGTCCTGCAGTGGTAACCAGTAATGAAGCCAAGCGCTTTCGCTTTCTTTTGGTTTATATGCCGGCAAAATATCAGCTTATTATTGGTAAGTCACCGCTCACTGGTGTGAATACCAAAAATGCAGGCGTAGCCGTAATCAACAACCAGGATATTTGAGATAAAATTCTTCTTTTTAACCCGACAAGAATTGATGGGATACTGGGCTTAGAGGACCTATGTAAAATGCAATATTAACCTCCCGGCTCAAACGAAGCATTCAAGAAGATTTGAGACCCAGTGGTCACGAAGATTGTGAGAAATGCCTGACCAAGAAGGAAACTTGGAACAGCTGTGCTACAGCATTTAGAGTGAACAAGTGGACTTTTCCTAAGTTTAGTTGTCTCCACTTTGAATCGTTAGACCGGGTTTTGAATGGCGTGGTGATAATTAATTTTTTTAAGTGCACTGGTCTGGTATGTGCGCTGTTTCGATGACATAAATTGTCAGTTTGTCTGGTCAGGGGAAACAGTGACACATTTACCTAGTAGAAAGGATGACAGATTGCCATAGTGTCATGTTCATGGTGCCTGAAGAGTTGCCTGGAAATGAAAAATGAAAAAGATATGTGCGAACTACGAAATGGGGCCCCTAAGAATTGCCCTTATATGGACTTGACAGATGCAGAGGACAATCACTGACCACTCGTACTTTCAATATACCCACGGATGCAAGATCATGGAAGAACACAGTGGCGTGGTCAGATGGGACAGTACATTTGCGAGGTCCTGTCAAAATATCGATGCGTTCCAACCAGCTAGCTAGAGAGTCTATTACGAGCAGTGCAACGTAACACGACAGCGTGCCGAATAGCGTAAATGCCTGACGTGTGCCTTCAGCTTGGCAAGTCCGATGAGACTATGTAGATCAGCACCAGTGCTAAATCTCGTCGAACCCTAGGCTATTGATTCCACAGAGGTGCGTGAGGCTACCTATCCAAACCAGCCTGCTGCTCACCAAAGCATTCAAAGAAGGATTTTGGAAGTAGGGGAAGTTAGAGTATGCGGGCTTTCTCAAATCTTTCCTACTTTCACTAGCCGGTAGCAATAATTATGTCTTCAACACGGAATATTAACCCATATGACAATAGGAGTCCGTCAGTGAAAAAGGTTACACACTCGAAACAAACTTAAAGTATTCGCAACAAAACAGACTAGTATACTTGCCCACTGGGGTCGAACCAAATGCCAAAAATGCCTAAGGCACACAGCGAAGTTAAAATCGAGACGGTAACGGCCTCCTATATAATCTAAAGCAGAGAAAAATGACAGTGAAGGTAAAACAAAACCTCAAATATGGCGAATTACAGTTAGGTAAACCGGATTGCAGTAAAGGAATACAAATGTAGTTCTGTCAGAATGAGGAAACTGACGTACGTAGTTCTGTGGGCCTAAGCAACACCGAGGGTAAAAATACAGGGAAGTAACGCAATATTCCAACACGGCGACAAAAAGATGGAACAGCAAACATAAGTATGGCCTCGTAGGTCGTTTACGAAGGATCTTCCAGTTTTTTTGGTATGTGCGATGTGATACATGTTTTCTGATGAAAAGAAGTTTTAAGATGCACCACGATGCAATCTGCGAACCCCACCTTAAGGGTACATAGTCTGTTTAATTCATCTCCATAATACGTGGTTACGGCTTCTTCAGCAGAATCCAAGAGGATAGGGAAACTTTCTTAACTCACATGGGTTATCACTTGCGTGCTTAGGGCCCTGCTGACCTCACTGAGTTACTAGAAGAGTTAAAGCACTGATGCCTTCAAAATCTAAAGCCAAAGAGCTAGAAAAGCCTGTTCACCTGCTACGGGAGTTAAGCTGAACAAAATTACAACGAGTCATTGCGAAAACAAGATGAGCATGTTTCGTCGTTTGCAGTTGAGCAATAGCCTTGTGACAGTGAGGGAAACCAGCAGATTTCTGAAGTGTTCTGTCAAGCTTGCTGTAAAGAATGCACAAAAATTACAACGATCCAAGAACTGTACGACAGAGCTCAAAACTATCAGTTTCTTAAACTCACACTATCAATAGTAAGCGTTAGAAGTTATTGGCTGATTTTATAGTTTTCTTTGCCTTGTTTAGTTTAAAAAGACTTTGATCACTAAAAAATGGTAAAATAGAAAAATTTCCTTAGATTTTTACTCCTCACATTGACTGGGACATTGAATGCTTTTCATGTTGTCATTTGCTTGTGCTCTAACTTTCATTTTTATGGCGACTTTTTAAAGACAACAGGTCTTTTTCGTTTGATTATGTTCATTCGATGTATGACGGTTTGAGCGTGTGTTTCTGGTTTTAACTGTTACATTTCAACTCTTTTCGAAATGGATTTAACGTGCGAACCAGTCGCTCCTCTACGTCAGGTTTGTTTTGATTATAACTAGAATTTGGAATTTTGAAATAGAATCAAGAGAGATTCAGGAGTCCAGATATATCTCGTAGACCCTTGGGAGAAGAGGCAGTGGCTGCTCATACTGTTAAGAAGACTCGTCGAGCTAAATCGACTGTATGCATTTTTTTATTTTCTTACAATTCTAGGAGCCTACTGCCCTTCAGCCTGATGATCCATTTGTTAAATACACAAACAAGGTATTCGTAGTAACTTGCAAATAACGCCTGGTATTAGGGTGATGGATATAATGAAAGTCCTCAGGATGAAACTGTAAATAAAAGGTGGTCATTAATCGCAAAAAACTACGAAAATGTAACTACTGGAATTTTGATTCACTTATTTGTTTTAGATGTCGAAACAGGAGTTACTAAGTAACTACAGACTTTTGATGAATGAAAAGCTAAGGCTGGAAAGATTCCTTTCAATTATGACAAAAAACAATGAGATGGTGAGTTTCGTTTTTACCATACCACAAATCTTTCCTTCAAACTTATCTCTACTTTTTTCTCAGCATCCTAATTTTCAATTTACGTTTTAGTTCATACTTTGTGAAACTGGTTTTGAAGTCAGTGGCTGCTTAAGAAGGAGTAGTCAGTGTAGTTTGGGAGATAGTTGTCATTACACAGCCTACAATGTAAACAGGTTTGATAAGCTCTTCCATCTTGTCTTTCTCATGCTTAGTCATCTTTCTGGATCAAACAATTCCTAGTCATTTTGTTTGTGACTGCTAAAAACCTTAAAGTGTTGCCTTTTAGTAGATAAAGGTATTCAGCAACGTGATTCTGCGATTGTTTCCGCTAATTTACCCTGCTGTTGCTGAAAAACTACCATTTTGTTGCAGAAAATGTGTGTGCTATTAGTTTTTGGTATTCAAAAAGTAACTCATGAAACCTACACTAGTATGTATACCATGACCTATAGTCAAGATTCAAACTCTAACAACTACTGCATCTTTAGATGTTTTTTTGGTATACTGGTTATAATAGATGTTTGTCTTTATTTCGTTACAGAATTTACAGGTCGATAGTGATCTGATGAAACTTCAGTTTTGCTATTGATTTGTGTCTTACATATGCTGAACCAAACTGTTGATCTGGTTTTTGCCTATGATAATACAAGTTGCACATACAAGTTTTGGCTTCAGTTCCAAGTATGTTTACAAACATAGTAAGGATATTACTGCTCATAAGATTTTCGAAACTGATCACAGCCTTAGGATATAGTGAACTTAACCAATGTATCACCGTTAACCATTTAGCTTCTTATTTTACAAAAATCACATGACAGTGAATATTGTTATGTTTTCCTAATTGTACACATATAGTGAAACCTAACTGTGATGCCTTCTAAAGTTTCTACACTGTTGGGAACCAGCCAATAACTTTTGTGACTTCAACAACTTAAATGTTTCCTAAAATTGTCTGTTTAAAGCTTTAATTCTAAAAATTTTCACGAATGTTTGGTTCTGAACAAGCAATCACTTCTCAGAGACGGTTCATGCTTTTTATTCTTTAAACACATACTTTTTTTGTCGATTACTTTGAAATCTAAGAAACTATAAGTATCCTTGCTTCCGTGTAAAGCTTTTACCTGAAGCAACTGAATACATTTTCACTTTTTGAGTTGTATCTACATGATCCGGTTGGCTATGGTTTTTCACTCAAGTCTGACGAGCCTAGTGAATTTCTAATTTGTTAGTACCCATAGAAGTTTAAAAATTGATAGTTTCAATATTTCGAAAATTACTGCAAGTAGTACTACATTCTTGTAAAATTTCCTTTATTTACACCTTCATTTCCAGCCTATATACCAACATATAAGTTAAGATCTTCTTCACTTGCTCCCACGATGTCATAATTTTGTGGAAACCACAGTTTACGTTTATTGAGTTTCTTTAGTAGGCTAGTGATAGTTTACTTAGATACCTACAGATTTTTTGTAGCCTTTACATTGTATGATCAAATGGTTGACAAAAATATGATACATTTCCTTTTGCATAGCGATGCATTCTGACAAGTTGTGTCAATACACTTATGTCTTTCTGTCCATCAATTAGTATCATTCAAGTCATTCGCTTGAATCCCCTTAATTTTGAAGTTTAATAGCGACATTACTTACTTTGTTGTATGAATATTGTCAGCAATGGTAGATAAATAGGAGACAGCAACACACATAGCTTGGCATAACTTTGAATGAATGAATGATTCCTTTTATTAAGTTTATTTCTATCTTTGCCGTCTCCAAAATCGTTTTAAATTCACTCTTGATTTCGTTGTATTAATTACAGGAAGCTAAGCATTGGAGCATATGACAGACTAAGTTAGATAATTAGTATCAAATGTTTAGGTTTAGGAAAATATTGAAATTTATGTGCTTTAGTATTAGAAGTTTGGTTTTAATTATGATTTTTTAGTAAAAATTAACAAACTCTTCCTTTGGGATGCAATAAAATAGTAGGTTATTCAGTTATGAGCACTTCTAAAATTCTCTGTTTGGCTTGAACGTTGTTTATGTCAGTGAATTAAAGTTCAACTAATCCACAGAACTTCACATCAATAAACTTCTTTGACCAGAAGGTAAATCAAAATGGTTATGGTTAGTGTGACAGATATTTTGTTGTGGAACAAAGGCAGAAGTAAACTGCTTCTCAATAAGATGAAATGAAGTATAATTATGCTGACAGTTACCAATGAAACATAACTGTGACTGTCTATTTCTATCATTATGCTGGATCCTAGAACTTTTCATTTTTATTTTTTGTAGTAAATTATTGTTTTATTACTTAATGATGCTTATACTTTCTCGTTACATTGGGTCAAACTGATCAGTTTATGATAGCATATGAGTTTCTGTGAAGATGCTGTGATATTTTCTGAAGATTCGCTAAGACTTGGTTTGGTTAATGATGGTCAACGGTTGAATTTAGGATGTCTAGCTGTCCAATCCCAAGTAGGACAAAATATATGTCATGGATTTCACTGACAGCCACCATGAACCGAAAACATCCAAATTGTTTTGTTTCTACATAACTTCAGTGAAAATAGTTTATAGATAACTTATCTTTGGAACACATTTGCCACACTTTAGCTATCTTACCAAGTGGTAGGTTATAACCCTTGTAACTAGTTGACTTCTGATCCACTACTAATTTTGATGGGAGTGGCAGGATTTTGTTTCTACTAAAAACAAGCTGATCCCACATGAAGTTTGCAATCAACCATGAAAAATTGCCAGCTATTTCCATATTCTCATCTCTTTCGAAATCATATCGTTCTCAATGAGTTGATTACGTTATTCGGCCACTGGATCTTTCAGTGTAAATTGAAATCATTCGAAAGAGTATCTGATACTACACAGAATCCTATAATAATAATGATGGCTTTATTCTGAAAGCTATTTCGAGAATACTTACGGAGTTTTCAGCATATCATATGTAGTATCAGTTGGATAGAGACAGTGTATATGTCTGCATGGCAAAACGAAATAATTCGAGATTACATGAAGAAAAGATAAAAATATTCCGTCTATCTACAACTTTCTTCAAAATGCACAGTCAGTTTCGGTAGACAATCACATAAGCAAATCGATTCATAATATGTAAAAAGTAACACGCTCATCTTCACTTTGCTTTCAAAAACAAGTTGGTTAGTGTTGGTTCATTTCTAATACTTTCCTCATTACACAGCAGACGAGCTAAATACTTATAGTATTGTGGAGGCTTTATATTTTGTAGTACATGCATAGGGTCTTGTATACTTTCTCCTCATCTTTCCAGATGACCAACACACAGTGAGCTTTGAGTGAAGAGAATGTTAGTCATCTGATAAAATAACTCCTACCAGATGTTTGCATGAGTTGAGATGTTTGTCTACAACAGTTTTAACTAGCAGGTTTAAGGGTACACTACTAGTTCTATTGATAATCTTCAAACTTCTACGCAATACAGCAGCATAGTCTTTTTTCAGCAACCTAGGAAAAAATAAATGGGAGCAATAGAGGAGAACAGGCAAGATGTAAGAGCTTATAAAACATAAGAGGAAAGGGTGAGTAATACCAGATACTCTCAACTTCCTAATATAGAAAATTAGGCAGAAAATTCCTTTAGAAATTAGTAAGATATGGGAGGACCAAGAAAGGTTCCAAGAAAAACACACACAACGCATAACTATCAATAGAACAGGAATCATGAGACCTAAGCAGTTTATACTCGTTGTGTTTGCGTCTAAAACTGAAGTTTGTAGTTTGGCATTTTGAAAAATTAAGTAGAAGACCATTTGCGAGGGTCATCGTCTAACACAGTATATAGGAAATCATTCAGTTAGGAACGATCTGTTGAAGAGGAGACAGGTATTAAAACTGTTAGGTTATCAGCATACTTGATGAAATCGTTACTAGCTGAAGGTGTTAAGTCATGCAGAAAGGAAGGAAAAGGACAGGGGTAAAGGACGGCTCCATGGGGAACACCACTCACAGTAAGCAACAAATGAAAATCTTTCTAACTTCTGTCAGTTCACGACATAGCGTAACCACCGGCCAATCTCATCGTTTGGTATTTTTGGAAATATGGACCATTGGATTCCGACTCAGCGGCTCAATGACAACGTGTTGGATACGGAACCTGAAGGTCCTGGTTTCGAGCCCTAACAAGGTGGGATCATGTGCGCGAACTGCTTAGGATTCCATTACTAGAACGAATAAGCTATTCAATGCTTCCAGTTTTCGAATGTTTCTCCAGGTGATATCAGTCCATGATGAATACCAACTTAAAATCAACAATAAGGATTACTGAAGGGGGTAAATTATGCAACAGATATGCAAAAAATTTAATCCTTTCGAAGTGAATCATGTACAACCTCCACAATTAATATTGAAAAACCTAATTTCAGTAGCATGAGAGAAGTTGACACTACCTGGAATACACTAAAGACTACATAATTGTTGAATGGCGAAGGTTGGTTTAGGTGTAGTTAGTCTGTATTGTAATATAGGGTTTGAGGATGTCATGCAGCCTGGTGTTATATCTCTTTCTCGTTTTCTTGGTACATTTTTCATTACTCCTCTTTTTCATTCGCTGTAATAACTAAGGTTGTAAAAACTTGGACTGTTACAATGTATTTTCTTATCAGATTGGCAATCACCAATAGATATAGATAGTTGTAAAGGGTCATCATATAAGTACTTACATTCTACAATAATAAAATCCAGTTGTACAGCGTAAAAACAGGCTGTTATGGGTAGTTACATTTTCAAAATGAAGTGAAATCTAGGGATTGTATGGAAATCGATTTATCTTTTTTAAAGTAGTCAGTATTGGAATGATACAGGTAAAAAAGAATAATATGATGGTGAACAGAGAGATAACGAATAAGATAGAAGGAGTGACCTTTAGTTAGCTGATAGCCAAGGGAGAAGCAACGTTTGAATACAGAGTCAAGCGCTGGATTATTCTTATTGTATCAACCTCTGCTATGTTGAGCAGGCGTTGGCGAGCTACATCTGTTATCCGTTTTTGAAACCCAATGAATGACATTGAAAGCTTTATTAGCGTCTATCTGATGCCCTGTGTCGATCAGATGCGCTAAAGCTGAACTTTTCACCAATTTCACTTCACCTTTTCCAAAGCAAGCTGGTAAATGCTCTCGTATCCCAAGATGCACCTACCTAATCGTACGCCCTATGTAACTAGTTCCACAAGAATAGTTAAAATGATCTATGCAAGTTGAAGAGCTAAGATTAAGGAGGTTATCCTTTAGTCTAGGTTTGAGCATTGGCCAACTACTGAAAGATATGCAAAGCTAATCCGCATGAAACGTTTTATTGATTGCTCTAATTAGGCGTTGTGATAGAATGTCACTTGCAACATCTCTCTTGAATTGTAAGCGCAGAAACAAAGGCTTATTGTTTACTGTCATCAGTTCTGATTTCGAACCAATGTAGTTGATGTTAGTTTCACTTGGAATATCATGAATATACAGTAGTTCTGTTCCCATACACTCCTTGGAATAAATCGATCTCACTATAAAAGCCAGGCAACTGATTATATTACGTTTCTACTTCATTGATATGCAGCTGAGAAAGTGAGTATAATGTGACTTAGACATTAGTTTTCTATATATACACTTATCAGTATAGAGGCATTTTTTGATATCAAGAAAATGTATTGAATTCTTGATTTCATTTTCGTCTGTAAAATGAATTGATGGATGAGCAACACTTTGAAATGGTTCAGAATTGAATTTTTTAATCTTTCAAAGGACTATTTTCCAATTTAGCTAAAAAATGTCTACCATTTGCATACTTCACAAAAGCATACAAAGAAGAAGTAGATAGAAAAAGACTAGTATCAAAGTAGGAAAAAAGCGCCTAGTGATTAGTCGAAACATTCAAAAAGAGTCTTTAATCACTGATTCCCATTTTCTCGGGGACCCTGCTCAGGTAGTCAACACCTCCTTACACGATTAAGACCGATAATCAGAGAATTCAATTAGTTCAGTTTTTTCAGTGGACAAGTTGAACACTGAACAAATTGAACGAAAGCTCACCCAAATTCTAAAGAAAATGATGAATGAATCTATCATCAACCCCGAACTATTCGAGCAGTTGCGACCTTCTGGTTCTGTTACTCCTGACTTATATGGTTTCCCGAAAGTCCACGAAGAGAATTGAATTTGATTCCTTTGTGTAGTTCATAAGCACTTTTTTATCTAAAAAAGTAAGTTATCCTCCTAGATTCTATGTTGACAAAATTGATGTATGTTATGTAGAAATTACTTTTCAGTGAGTATTGATTCATTTAAGAGAATAAAACAGCAAACTTCTGGAAGTGACTTTTTTCATTGGAAAACAACTTCGTTTTATGCTTCAATTTGTCAATTCTTTCCTGCTGTGAATATAGCCAGTATCTTCCACCTCGTCACCCTAATCATCCCTTAGAAACATCTCCAACTAGTGGCTAATATCGTTTTTCTAATCATACGACAATTATATATTCACTTTAGAGGGTTTGTCGGGATTTATGGAGTGATTTCAGGTTGGTATTCATTATAGAGTGACACTAGTTGCAGAAATGTTAGAAAACTCAGAGCATTAGACAGGAGTTTTGTCCTAGTATGGGACTCCTCAGCAGTACTCACCTACAAAGACATCCCGTCGGGGATCGAACCCAGAACCTTCAAAGTCAGTATCTTTATATTTCTCATAGATTTCAGTCAAATGTGAGAACTTCACCCGTACATTCTGTTTAAAAACCTAAGCACACATGAATTATGAATCTGAAAAGTTTACTGAAAAAGGTTGATTTGTAAATAAAAATCAATATTTGCTTCATGTAATTTTGTATGATAAACTTTGGTTGATAAACGTATGTTACCATCGCTTGAATTCTCTTACCTCTATTTTAAAGTCTCTTCGATTTTAAGAAATAAAAAAACGACCATTATTCGAATGAAACTTATTTACGCTAAGAACCATCGCTCAACAGATCACAGAATAGCAGTCAACTCAACTCAACTCAACCTCTACTTCATCCACTCTGAAAAGGCCTTCAACAGCATCAACCGAGGAGTTATTTGGCAGGCAGCTACCACTTCAACACTACGGTTTTAGTACCACAAACCTCTATCAACCCCATTCAACAGCAGCTATATGCTATACTACATGATGCTACATGCCAAGTGAGCCACAATGGAAATCTCAGTGACGCCTTTGAAGTGAAGTCAACGAACAGGAGTAAGACAAGGTTGCCGCCTACTATCATCATCGATGATCTTCCTGATTGTGGTGGACTCGACCATGCAACATACAACTGTGAGGAGTTGTGAGAAGATGGACACACGCTGACTGGACCGATGAAAAGACCCTAGGAAATTTGGATTTCGCCCATGATGATGATTTATGCCTAATGTCTTACAAGCTTGAAGATGTACAGGCAAAACCAAGGAGTTGACAGAAGAGGCGAAGGGTAGCGAAGGGAGTCGGGAATTCCTTCAGGTGAACGTAGAGAAGACAGAGGTGATGAAGATACCCAACGTAATCGAAGTTGTCTCTTCCACCTACCTACCTGCCTACCTAGTCAGCTACTACAGGTCAACTACAGGTGATGACAGGCACAGATGAGGATGAGTATGTCAAAGCGGCCAGGATCGGGAAGACAGCAAGACAGGCGTTCCTGCATTAATCTGAAACCAATCAGTGTGTAGATCTACTGCACTCAGCATAAAGCGTGAACAACATTCGGATTTTCAACAATAATTTAGTCAAGTCAGTCAGTGCTTCTATGTGATGGTTGAGAGAGTCGGCGCATCACGAAAAGCATTTCCAACAAACTACTACAGACATTCATCAACAAATGCCTCCCATGCTCACTGAATAGTGAGGATCAGATGGCGAGAATGATAGGAATAAGGAAGAAGGAAGTCTGGCTGGCTGGCTGGCTGGCTGGCTGGCTGGCAACTAAGCAACGAATCAAGAACCTATCGCTCAACAAATATGCAGTGGAAGAGAGTGTAGATGGATTGGATTGGGGATACACTGAGAGGAGCATTTGGGGACATGACTTGTTAGGCCGTGGATTGGAGTCGAAATGGGAAACGATGAGAAGGGTGTTCCAGGTGAGGGTGACGTGGTGGAGATGGTGTGAGGATGAAATGAAAGATTGTGGGGAGTGGTGGTGCCATATTGAAAAGACTGTAGAGAAGAGAGTTTAACGGAGACGTGCTAGTGAAACCGTATGTTCCACTAGGAAGGAACCCAAGGGAAAATGAATAATGATAACAACTAGGCTTGATCAGTTTTTCTCGTCTCAGTATGTGTATCCCCATAGACCTCATTGTTCAATCCATATATTCCAAATGTAACTTTACTAGCATGATGTTCAAATTTCCACTTTAATCAGTTAACTACAGAGTAACGGTGTTAAAAATAAAGTTTTCAGGAAGTTATTAAGTTTAATAGTTAATTATTTCCATTTACACTCCTAAATAAAATTATTTTCCTCATTCTCTCAATTATGTTTATTGTTTTTCAGGCTCGAAATCGTTTAGAATCTGACTTATTAGATGCTATGATGTGCATAGAAGATTTGAAACAGGCTCTTGAAATTCGTTTAGCACGAGTAAGTTTATTTTTTTTTCATTCTTTCAATAAAACCTTATAAATAAAATAAACCAATTTATATACACTTTTTACTGTTTCCTTATTATTACTTTTTTCCATTCTCATCTAAAAATATTCAGCTTATTTCGGTTTTGTTCCAGTTATCGTTTTAGCTCCAAGTTTCATGCCAAACCTCGTATTTTTGGACATTATTTTCCTGGTGGATAGGTTCCCTCACATGAAAATGAATACTTCTGTCAGGATATCCTGTTAACGCCCCCTTAAAGTGATCAATCTTATCCTAGAACCCTCCCAAATGTCAAGCTTTAACACATCCACATTCACCGAGTAATCAGTTCGTTGACCGTTTTCATCTCCCCGTGGGTAGACATGCTTGGGACTGAAGTCTCCATAGCCTTCCTGACCTAGACACAGCTCACCTTCTCTAGAGAGTCACTCTTTGGGCTACGGATATAACCAAAGTTAGGACTAAAGACGCAAGCATTCCGGACTGAATATCACTCACTTTCGCAAGGTAAAACTACACTTGTTTCGAAGGGATTACTTCAACCGCAGTGAGTACTGGAATTAGGAAGCTGGGTTCACCTTGCCTTTGAGTTGCACTGCTCCTAGCTCACTGGGTGTTATTCTGAGGGCTGACCAGACCGCATATGCTTTGGAGGTCCATGCCATTAATCTTGCGCATCTCGATCTCGTTGACCGCAAATACCGCCGAGTTAACTTGATGGTGTATTTGTGTATTAGTTGATATCCAGCAGGGATACTAGGAAGTTCTCTGTCATACGTAAGTAGGTTGGACCAGTAATTCTCAATGCGCATACCGTCTTCAGTTTTCAAGGACCATCAACACAAAACCAGCACCAATTAACTGCATCATCCAGAGCTTCCTCATATTCATACCGTGGCGCCTAACTATGGAGCAAATCACGTCATCTTAAGAAAGTCATAGTTGCTCCTGTCTAAGTTTTATTCTTAAATACTTCCGTTACTTATTAAGGTGAATGGTAAAGAATTAGCATAAGCAAGGACTATAATTGTGATTAATCAACTATAGTTTTGTTTTAGCTTAATACCAGCAAATATTTCACTAGAAAGGTTGGCCAAATTAAATAGAGACCTTGAATTGATCATGAAATGAAAATGGAATGAATGCTAACATTCTATATACCATAATAATACTCATATTGTCTATATTACGAGAGATTAGTATTTAATCTCTGGTCTCATTATGAGCTCGGTAAGAAAAATGGATGGGTTGTTTGTAATTTTAATATTATCGATGGATAGTGGCTAGCATTGGAATCTAGGATGCGCGTTTCGTCTTATTTGGGACTCGTCAGTTGGATATACATGACTTACGGTTAGTGATGTTCTCACTAAGACTCGAATCTAGAATGAATCACTTCAAACACTAAATTGTTATCAATTAAGCCACTGAGTGACCATGGCCGATCCTTGTGTGACGAGTTTAATATGGTTTTTATATTATAAAACCTCGCCTAGGTAACTAGTCTACTAGTTACTGGCCTGCAAGCCCGGACAAAGAGGAAAGGTTGGGCATAGGCTAGCAACCGTAGAGCCAATCCAACCGTTACAGAAACTTTAAAGCACAGACAAAACATAAAAATTAAATTAAACTTATTCTACGTTGGGATCGAAGAGGCGAAATGACGCCGGTTGTTGAAAGCCTTCGGGAAACCAATTGACCGATGTATCTTTGCCTCTTTCGATGAAGGCGAAACTAAGAATGGGGACATGGAATTTTTGAACAATGTATGAACCTAGCAAGGTTGCCCAGATTGCAAAAGAGGTGAGGAGGTATGGCATGGAAGTGCTTGGAATCTGTGAAAGCATATAGAAGGGAAGTGAACTCTCCACACTGTTAACTGGAGAGTCAATAATCTACTCCTATCACTCAGACGACAACCACGAGCACACTGAGTTATGGAGTGGCTATCATGATATCCACAGGAGCACCGAAGGCTCTCATGCAGTGGGAACCAATCTCCTCCAGGATCAGGTTCATGACAGCAGAATTCGGCTCAAAAGGAAGGAAAGTCATAATCATTCAATACTACCCACCTACACTACAAATAATGCAGATGAAGAGAAGAAGGAGGAATTCTACAGACAACTGCAATCAGTACTGGACAAGACCCTACACCAGTTGGCAACAACAAAATTCTAATGGCCGGCTCATCCCAAACTCGGAGTAGACAACACAGGAATAGAAGCAATCATGGGTCGAGAAACACTCGGTGAAATGATGAATGAGAATGGAGAACTGTTTGCAGACTTCTGTGCATTTAATGATTTGGTGACTGGAGGCACGTGTAAAAACATGAGGATATTCACACAGAGACATGGACTTCACCAGATGGATACACTACACTAAAAATCAGATCGATTTCATCTTCATCTGAAGAAGGTGGAGACACACCCTACTGGACACAAGATCAGATCAAGAAGGGGAGCGGATGTAGATCCACACCTCTATCTAGTGCAAGGAACCTTAAAAATCAAGTTGAAAGCCTTCAAAAAAGTTGGTGATAGACCACAGTTCAAGTTCAACACCCATAACAGAAACTAAAGGATGAAACTACAAAAGACATCTACACACCAGTCATCAGGGCAAAATAAGAGGCATTGAGCAACGTCCCTGAAGGACCGGGCATGAAAGAACACTGGAACTCCTTGAAAGCTATATGAAAAGAAACCTGCATAACCGTATTAGGAAGGAGGAGGAAACAGGACAAGGAATGAATCTCGACGGACACATGGGAGCTGATAGAGGAGAGGATGATGGTGAAGCAGAAGATGAACCAGTGCAAGGATGCACAACGAAAAGATGAAGTGAGTACAACGTACAAAGCACTGGACAATAAAGTGAAGAAATGTGCACGGAAAGACAAAAGACACTTCTACGACACACTGAAAAGTGAAGCAGAACAGGCTGCAGGTAGGAGAGACAGAGACACGACAACATTGTATCAAATAACCAGGTTACTGTCTAGGAGGGAAGAGATCAACGCAGATGAGACCAACAAAAGATGATGGAGGAAATATAATTATGAAAGAAGAGAAACAAAGGAAACGATGGGCTGACCCCTTCAAAAAACGCTCTTAAATCGACCACCACCACCATCATCTACAACTCGTCCAGAAATACCACAAGCAGCCACAGAATTACCAGTGAACACAAGCCCTCCGACAAAAGCAGAAGTTCTGAATGCCATAAAACTGCTAAAGTTCGGGAAAGCAGCAGGGCCAGATGGAATTCCTCCAGAATGACTTAAAACAGGAGCAGAGACAACAGCGACTGACATACTTACACCACTATTGCAGAAGGTTTGCAAAGAAGGGAGGAAAAGTACCTGCCAACTCATTGGAAGAAGGGCTACCTTACCAAACTTCCAAGAAGGGCGACCTAAGTCCTTTCAAGAACTGGCGCGGAATCATGCTGCCGTCCACCCCAAGCAAAATATTATGCCACATAAACCTGAAGAGACTAAAAGATGCGCTGGATTCAAAATTACGATGCGAACAGGTTGGCTGGCCTCAGGAAGTATAAATCATGTGCAGACCAAATTGCAACCATACGCCACACACCAACATAGAATGGAGCATAGAATGGCAGTCAACTCAACTCAACTCAACCTCTACTTCATCCACTCTGAAAAGGCCTTCAACAGCATCAACCGAGGAGTTATTTGGCAGGCAGCTACCACTTCAACACTACGGTTTTAGTACCACAAACCTCTATCAACCCCATTCAACAGCAGCTATATGCTATACTACATGATGCTACATGCCAAGTGAGCCACAATGGAAATCTCAGTGACGCCTTTGAAGTGAAGTCAACGAACAGGAGTAAGACAAGGTTGCCGCCTACTATCATCATCGATGATCTTCCTGATTGTGGTGGACTCGACCATGCAACATACAACTGTGAGGAGTTGTGAGAAGATGGACACACGCTGACTGGACGATGAAAAGACCCTAGGAAATTTGGATTTCGCCCATGATGATGATTTATGCCTAATGTCTTACAAGCTTGAAGATGTACAGGCAAAACCAAGAAGTTGTCAGAAGAGGCGAAGGGTAGCGAAGGGAGTCGGGAATTCCTTCAGGTGAACGTAGAGAAGACAGAGGTGATGAAGATACCCAACGTAATCGAAGTTGTCTCTTCCACCTACCTACCTGCCTACCTAGTCAGCTACTACAGGTCAACTACAGGTGAGACAGGCACAGATGAGGATGAGTATGTCAAAGCGGCCAGGATCGGGAAGACAGCAAGACAGGCGTTCCTGCATTAATCTGAAACGAATCAGTGTGTAGATCTACTGCACTCAGCATAAAGCGTGAACAACATCCGTATTTTCAACAATAATTTAGTCAAGTCAGTCAGTGCTTCTATGTGATGGTTGAGAGAGTTGGCGCATCACGAAAAGCATTCCCAACAAACTACTACAGATGTTCATCAACAAATGCCTCCCATGCTCACTGAATAGTGAGGATCAGATGGCGAGAATGATAGGAATAAGGAAGAAGGAAGTCTGGCTGGCTGGCTGGCTGGCTGGCTGGCTGGCTGGCTGGCTGGCTGGCTGGCTGGCTGGCTGGCTGGCTGGCTGGCTGGCTGGCTGGCTGGCTGGCTGGCTGGCTGGCTGGCTGGCTGGCTGGCTGGCTGGCAACTAAGCAACGAATCAAGAACCTATCGCTCAACAAATATGCAGTGGAAGAGAGTGTAGATGGATTGGATTGGGGATACACTGAGAGGAGCATTTGGGGACATGACTTGTTAGGCCGTGGATTGGAGTCGAAATGGGAAACGATGAGAAGGGCGTTCCAGGTGAGGGTGACGTGGAGGAGATGGTGTGAGGATGAAATGAAAGATTGTGGGGAGTGGTGGTGCCATATTGAAAAGACTGTAGAGAAGAGAGTTTAACGGAGACGTGCTAGTGAAGCCGTATGTTCCACTAGGAAGGAACCCAAGGGACA